TAGCTTGTCCAAAGCCACACAGCTTGTATATCATATTAAGTGATTTTTTTTGACTGCTTACCCCACTTCCGGCCCACGAGGACATACCCACTATCTCTCACACATCTTAGCCTCCTAAAATTTATCACCTTATCACACCCATGCCCCAAAGGGGAGCATCTTCCCCAAGCACACTCAGAGGTGTGGTTTGAGATGGGTGCATTTCCAAGTAGAAGAAAACTCAGAATCAATATTCATGTTCTAAGAGCACAGTCCTGAAAAAGAAAAAAAAAATCACAGAGAATAAGGCACACGCACACAAAAAGCAAAACCAAATTACAGCAGGAGACTTTACAACTCTCCCACGGGGACTTCGTTCTTGCCCAGACATTTAATTGAACATGTATGAAATCAGCTTGCGGCTGGGCTGCATGGCGCGAGTGGGGCCTCTGGGGCCCAGCCGCCTCCAGGAAATCTCATTAATTTCTACATGAGAAATGATTTCATCTCTTGGCCACAGTCTGGGGGTGATGCCAGGCAGGGGCGCCGAGCTGACAGGGCCAGGTTTTTGCTTCAACTGCTGCATGTCCAGCCCAAGGGTTCTTCTTAGGAAGAAAGGAAGGAGGAAGGAGGAAGCTTGGGCCACAGGCCTGGTCCTGCACGATCACATTTCATTCCTTGCAGTTCTGGGAGGGGGTTCAGTCTTCTTTCTTTGACTTGCCAAAGGTTGCTGGCATTTTGGAAGGAAGGGGAAGGACTGAAAACAAAGTGGTGTGATCGCAATGGAGGTCAGAGACTGAATTCTTACCTTTGCTGTTTTTATTACTGGTATTGGTCGTTTTTCTGATGCCAGTAACACACTTCCACAGTTCTGGGTGAGTTTCAATGAAAAGAAGTTTATTTGGGCTCACAGTACTGGAGGACTGAGGTCAAGGGACCTTGTTTGGTGATGACTTCTTGCTGACAGAGACCTGAGGTGACAGCCAGAGGACTTGAGTTGTGTCTACACCTTGTTTTTCCTCTTCCTCCTTTTTCTCGGTGGTACTGGGTTTTGAACTCAGGGCCTCATGCTTGCCAGGTAAGAGCTCTACCACTTGAGCCACCCCCCCAATCCAGCCCTGGTTTCTTTATTTTTCAGATAGAGTCTTGCGTTTTTGCTTGAGTTGACCTCAGCCCTCCATACTACCTATGCCTCCCGTGTAGCTGGGATTACACCATGCCCAGCTCTCTCTCTCTTCTTATAAAGCCCCAAGGGTTCTATCATGGGGGCTCCAGCCTATGACCTCATCTGTTCCTAGTCACCTCTGCATCATTCCTTCTAGGAAGGAGTTCCTCATGCCCTGTCTACACAGCCGAGTGTGGTGTTGGATGAGGAAGAGGGGGATGGAAAGAGGAAGTCTAAGATCTCAAGTTCTAAACATTTACTACCACTTTTTCTCTGAGCTTCCTGACAACCAAGGAAGAAAGGGAAACAACTGCAAAGCTCTTTTTCACCAGCCATTTGTTTACCAAATACTTATTGGTTGTTAACCATGAGCTGGGTGGGGCACTGAGTTTTTTTAAATCCTTTTGGCAACAGGATAGGTATGAAAATGAATACTTTCTTGTCATCCTTCAGGAAAAACTCGGCATCATCCTCCTGGGAAGGAGTTCCTCATGCCCTGTCCACACAGCCAAGTGCCTCCTCTGTCCCCACCAGCTCCCATAGTCATCGAATCCTGGCATTTGTTACCTGGCATTGAAGGTGTCTTTGTTACTTCTCTGTCTCTCCTTCCAAGCTATGGGTCCCTTAATGAGGGAGGTTTTGTCTCCTCATGTGCATTTGTTTCCCTGAGTTTCTAGCAGAGGTCCTGGGACATGGAGAGCGCTCAACTGGGATTTACTGACCAATTGGTTGGATGGATAGATGGATGGATGAATGGATGGATGAATGGATGGATGAATGGATGGATGAATGGATGGATGGATGGATGAATGGATGGATGGATAGATGAATAAAGTATAGATGGATGGGTGGTGGATGTAGGCTAGATGGATGAATGAATAAATACATGGAGGATAGATGGATAAGTGAATGTATGGCTGATGGATAAATAAATGGATGAATGAATGAACGATGGATAAATGAATAGAGTATGGATGGATGGTTAGATGGATGGAGGCTAGATGGATGAATGGATATGAATGGAGGATGGAAAGATGGCAGATGGATGGATGGATGGATGAGTTGCTGAATAGATAGATGGATAAATGAATAAATGGATAAATGAATGAAGGATGGAATGAATGAAGGATGGATGGATAGATGAATGGCTGGCTGGATGGATGGAAGAATGAATGAATTTTAGCTTCCCAGTGTGGCTACAATGCACAAAAATATGGTAATTTCTAGGAAATAAGAAAGGAGGAACCTCAGAATGACTTTACTGAAAAGTTGGACCTTAGGGCCAGAGGTTTTTTAGAGCACGCGAACATGGCCTGTGACTACAGAGCTTGGAGTAAGCCACTCAGTCCCTCAGAACCTCCATCCTCACATCCAGGAGATGGGGGCAAGAGTGCACGGCTCACAGAATCAACACCAGCATAAGATGCGTGACGTCAGCAGGCAGCCCAGGGCCAGATGGTGAGATGTCACTACATGAACTTGACTCCACAGCTGGGGTTTGGAAGTGGCCCTTGCGTGGACATTTAATCCTCACTGTGGGGCATTCAGAGGGCGTTTAATCTGATGGTAGTGTTTAGAGGCGGGGAAGGAGACGCAGAGATGCACACGAGAAGTCAGTTTGCTCTGTAGCGGTGGGGAGGCATCACCCTCAAGGACCAGGGCCCGTTGATTTCTGCTGTGTAGACCTGGGCCCCTTACCAGGTTTCACCCTCTTTCCACCCAGGGCCCTACTGAAAAATAGAGGTGTTGTCCTCGCCGGGGTCCAAATCCTGGTGCCACCACTTTCCAGTTGTGAGAATTTGGCTGAGTTGCTCGAGTTTTTCTGCCTCAGTTTCCAGGTGTATAAAATGGGATATGAATTATTTGAGGGTAAAATGAGATATAAAAAATTGGTGAAGACAGGGCTGGGGCATGGCTCAAGTGGCAGAGCGCCTACCTAGCAAGGCCAAGGTCCTGGGTTCAAACTCCAGTACTGCCAAAAACCAAACCAAAACAACAACAAAAAACACCCATGAGGGTGAAATGAGCCATGTGCCTCCAACTCAAGGGACACCCGTGATATGGGGCTGGAACGGGGGCAGGGATGGAGCTCGGTCCAGGGCTGCCATTTCTCTGGTCGCCTCCACCCACTCATCCGCTCACCTCTTACCTGTCACGTCACTGTCCTCAGCTTGCCAGGGAACTGAACTTCAAACATCTTTGCAACTCTGAGCTGATGCTCCACCGGCAGTGGTTGTCGAGCAAGGGAGACTGATGGACCGGGCTGGACTCCTGGGGCCGGGGAGGGAGGTCTCCCCCTGTCTCATCCCTCCCCTCCCCAGCCCTCCTCACCCCACCTGCTAGAGTCCTTGGCGGGGGCTCAGCTTTCCTCTCTTATTTCTATCCCTGTCCTCTCTCCTGGAGACCTCCCGTGTTCTCAGGCCAAGTGAGGTCCCAGATGCCTCACTGAGCTGTGGTCTGCTGTAGACACCCATGTCCTTAACAGCTGTGCCTGGGGTGCACATCACACCCCACGCTGACCTCCTCTTCCTCCCCCACCTCCCCTTCTCGGCAGTGGCTCAGCCCTGCATCCACTCTCCTTTCCCTCACACACTCATCACAGCTGTGGCCCATTTCATCTTTAAACTATTCTAGAATCTGACACTTCTCCTCTGCCCCTGTCCCCATCCTGGTTCACCCACCAGTGTCCTGTGGTGGGGTCATTGCAAGAATCCCCCAATGACCTCCCCACTTCCGCCTTTGTCCGCCCTCTTGGTCTTCTTGTGCTGACATAACAAATGACCTTTAGAGAAACACATTCTCCCATGTTCTGCATGCATCAAGTCCAAAGTCAAGCCATCAGCAGGCTTGGTTGTACCACAGGCTCTGGGAGTCTGTCCTGCCTCTCTCCTGTGGGCTGCTGGTGTCAGCAGTCCTCGGCTTATAGCTGCCTCACTCCAAGCAGAATGAGTGATACTCTACTCCAGTATCACATCCCCTCGTCACCTCGTCCATGTCACTCCCTGTTTTCAAAGTACACCAGCTCATGGCATGTGAGACCCCTCTAACCAGGATGCTCTCCTCCCAAGGTCCTTAACATCTGCAAAGACACTGTTTTCAATAAGGCCACCTTCACAGCTTCCCTGGGGACATGAGTTTTGGAAGTCACCCTTCCACCTGCTGCAGCCCTCTGCTGTCTGCTGTCAATACAAACGTGACCCTGGACTCTTCTGTCTGGTGGCTCCAGTTTCAGTCACAGAGAATCTAAATCCTTCCAAGGGCTTTGGAGGCTCCAGGATCCACTCTTCCCTGAGTCTCTCTTTTCTGGCTCCAAGTGCCACACTCTCCATCCTTCATCTCCATCAGGTCCTTATTCAAAGGTCATCCATCCCCAGTGGTGCTGTTGGTTTTACCTCCTTTGTGCCTCATTCCTGGTCCCTGGTGCTTGTCACTGTCTGTCCATGTCATCACTTGTTTACTCATTAGAATGTCACCCTGTGAGAGTGAGATCTTGGTTTATCCTTTCCTGAGTTCTCACCGAGCAAATCAGCAAATACTAACATGAGATCAAGTGAGCTCAAGTGCTCAAGGAGAGCATAGACGTTGCTCATGGCGAGGCTCAACCACTCCTGTAGTTAGTATCACCATCATTAGAGTACTAGCGGTAATTGTAGGACTTGTCAATTTCCCCAGCATCGTGAGTGCCCTGTAAATGTTTGTTGATCGAATGCCGGATGTTAGAAGTAGTGGTAATTGTACGAATAGTAATTTCTGGCCCCTCCCCCTGCCCCCGCCCAAAGCATCAGGTGCTGGCCCATTGTGAGTGCCTAGTAAATGTTTTTGATTGAATGCTCAATGTTAGTAACCTGAGTCTGCTGGTGTTCTCTCTGTGTCTGTTCCAAGCCATGCATGGGACGTTCGTGATTCTGTTGCCACTCAGCCTGATCCTGATGGTGTTTGGGGGGATGACGGGATTTCTGAGCTTCCTCCTTCGAGCCTACCTCCTTCTGCTGCTCACGGGGACCCTCTTCCTCTTTGGAGGTAGGTGCTCACCCCATGGGGCCAGTCTCCAAAGTTGCATGGGTGGCGAGTGGTGTGCATACAACCTCTGTGAGGTGGGCAGCCCACCTCCTCTTGGGGCTCAGTTTCCCTGTCTGTGCTACCATCTGGAAGGCACAGTGGTTTCCAGCCTAGGGTCTGGGGTCTCTGTCTCCCAAGATGGAGCCAGGGGAGGCGGCAGGCTCAGGAACCACTTTCTCTGCATCTACAACAGAGCTGTGTCAACTCGGCCTGAACTCATGACAGCTTCCAGCCTGGGGCTGTGAGCTGGCAAGAGACCCTGGCCTGGCCATCCCTCCTCCTTCCTGCCCATTAGCCAGGGCAGGAAGGATGATGATGAAAAAACAGGAAAGAGCAGGCACAGAGAGTCAGACACCACCCGCTGTCACCCAGGTGTGGAGTCCAAACAAGCTGACCTCAGAGCAGCAGGGGATAAAACACTGGTCATGGGAGGCCAGGGCTGGGACTGGGGAGTTGCTGGGCAAAGGACACACAGTATAACCAGGTGTGATTGCGCACGTCTGTAATCCCAGCACTCTGGAAGTTGAAGCAGGACGATGGTGAGTGTGAGGCCCTGTTTCATACAAACAAATCAAGAAAAAGAAAAAATCCACGACACAAAATAAAACAAAGCAAACACCAGGCAGCACAGACCCTGGTCAGGTTAGTTCTTTTTGTTTGATTTAAAGAAAACAGGACCCCGCTCAGCTGACCGTTTCGCACTCCCTCGCTCCCTGTGTGGATTCCAAACATTTCCTTATTAAAAAGAGAAAGACAGTGCAAATGCCACACACACAGACCCCACAGAGGGGTCATTCTCAAGCCCGGGGTAGAACTTTCTGGAATGGCAAAATTGTCCAGTCCACGCTGTGCCATGGGAGGCCATGAACCAAGCTGGTGTGGCCAGTGCCCACAACGGGGGCTGACTTGTTAATTAAATGAAACTTCCACGTTAAAAGCCATGCCTTGCCCGTGGCGGCTGTCCTGGACCATGCCATCCTGAGACCCATGGCAGGTGGCACGGTTTGAGTGCTGGGGACTCACAAAGTAGAGGTGGCTTCTGTTCTCTGGGCCCGCAGCCCGCAGGGAGTCAGGCCTTGATGGAGCAATGACAAACGGGAATGTGACATTGTGACACTGCAGCTGTGACCTGGGGCTGGGGTGGCCTTGTGTGGTGAGCTAAGGTTTAACCTGCTGGGGCTCCTCCAGGAGAAGATGCTGGAGATTAGACGGGAGGGAGGACCGGCTCCCTGGGGCAGGAGGGAAGGCGGGGGCGCCAGGCAGGGTGGCCAGCAGGGCAAAGGCTCCACAGGGGGATGGGGACTGGGACGCTGGGGAGGCCCCAGGGCTGGGTGGGTGGGGGGAGAGAAAGAGGAGGGGGAAGGAGGAGGAGAGGGAGGGGAGGAGGGGGAGGGAAGAGCAGAGGGAGGAGGAGGAGATGGAGAAGGAAGAAGGTGAGAGAAGAGAGCAGAGGAGAGGAGGGGGAAGAAGGGGAAAAAGAGGGAGGGGAGGAGGGGGAGAGAGAGGAGGAGGAGGAGGGAGAAGGGGGAGGAGGGGAGGGCAGGAGGGCCCAGCCAGGGAGGTGGTGACCTCCAGCTCCTCCCGCAGCCCTGGTGACCCTGGCTGGGATCAGCGTGTACATCGCGTACTCGGCGGCCGCCTTCCGCGCAGCGCTGTGCGTCCTGGAGGAGGGGACCCTGCTGGACCAGGTGGACATCCACTTCGGCTGGTCCCTGGCCCTGGGCTGGATCAGCTTCATCTCCGAGCTGCTCACCGCGGCGGCCTTCCTGGCATCTGCGCGTGTGCTCCACCTGAGACGTGGGCAGGACCAGCCCATCTGAGCCTGGACAAGCCCTGGTCCGCCGGGGCCTCATGGACCCAGCTTGGTGGTGGCCTGTGGCCTCCTCTTCCTCAAAGATGTTCGGTAGAGGCCAGGCAGGGACCCTGGTGGACTGAGCTCAGGCCAAGTGCTGTTGTCCTGCTGTCCGGCTGCCCACTGGGCTATGTGTGTGTGACAAGAGGCTGAGGGTGTGCTGAGCCCACATCACCTGAAATAAATAACCCCGATCATGTCTGCCCGTCACAGTTCTGTAAGCACGAGGTCCAGGTGCCCCTCAGCACCTTTATCATTCTCACCTCTGCCCCTTGGTGATGTTAAGGGTGATCAGAGAGGTTAGGTAACCTGGCACGGTGCACAGCGAGCTAGTCACACTCCCCCCTCCAAGTGCAGCTTCTCTGGGGAGGCTCAAGCCCCCGAGTCCCCCCAGCTCAGCTGCCGCCTGGGACCTCACAGGACGCTGAGGCAGCTGGGGAGGGTGTGGAGGCCTGGGGTCCAGGTATTGGGTGGTGAAGGATCCCCTCCTGTGCTAGGCTGTCTATCGTGTGTGTGTCTCTGGTCGAGTCCTGGGCCTCAGTGGGGAAGCCCCCGGGGTGAGTCTGCGGCCAGGGACCCACTGTGGAAAGGTTAGTTGAATCTTCTGGATGTAGGGACCCTCTTGTCCTTCATGTGGGTAGGTTGGTCCCTGGGAGACCCCCACGAGGAGAGGAGCAGTGGGCAGCCAGAGTTAGTGGCAGGAACTGTCCTCAGAACCACAACCCACAGCTCGGGGCGGTCAGTCTCGTGTCCAGTCCAAAGACCAGCGTCTGCTCCTGTCCATAGCCCAAGAGGAGGCCGTTCCCAGGGCTGGCGGAGTTGCTACCATCGCTCCTGTCAGCCCTGGCATGAGGTGTGGGAGCAGGGACCCAGGGCTCAGGAGCTCCTTGGAGGAACCGGGGGTTATGAGACAGTGGTGTTCTCAGTGTTATGACGTCACCTTGTTCTCACATGACATCATCGTGATCACCATAACATCACCATCTTTACCATGATGTCATCTTCCCACCACCAAGATACCACCATCTTTGGGATGACATCATCACCTTCACCAGGACCCATCACTGTCACATGACCATCCTCATATGATGTCATCGTCTTCACTGTGACATCATACCCATTGAGTATTTACTGTGAACCTGCACAATTCTACACATCAGTCAGTCAGTCAACAAATGCAAGGACGGCCATTCCCTGCCAGGAACTAGGGGCAGGGACTGCTGGACCCAGCTTTGCTCTCTGAGCTGGTGAGGAGGGAAATCGAGCAGGTACAGATGAGGAAACTGAGGCACTGGCAGCTTGCATTTACTAGTCCAAAGGCACAAGGAGAGAAAGGGTGCAACTGGTATTGAAATTCAGAATTACTCTCCTCTCCTGACAACACCTGCACCACCAGGCTTCCTGTCTGTTTTGGAAAAGCGCAAACTGAATGGGTGGTTCATATTCCCACAGGACGGTGAGTGCAGCTGCAGGTTCAAGGCCAGGGAAAGAATTTTCCCAAAGGGAGGGCACCTGTGCTACTGAAAGGGTGGTCTTTGCTGCCACCTGCTGGTCATATCTTGGAACTGCACTAAGGCACTAGGATTGGCCAATCTAGTGAAATTGGTTTCAGCCTCTCAGCTTCTCTGGCTTGGTTACCACTGTGCAGGGGATCGCCTGGTGGGGCGAGTCTTTCCCCACCAGGACACTTGACAATGTCTCGAGGGCAGCTTTGGTTGTTACAACAGAGGTGGTGTTGGTGTTCCTGGCTTCTAGGGGAATAGCATCCTATGTGCACAACGTAGAATTGTCTGCTTCCTCAGGTGGCAGTCCTGTAGCCAAGAACCCTGCTAGGGGAACAGAAACGAACAGGAACAAGACACAGCATGAGTGTGCTGAAGGACCCGATGATGTAGAACGGAAGAAATTCACTCACTTGTCCATCCGTTCATTTGTTCATTCAGGAAGAGCTTACCTGACATCTACATTGTGCCAAGAAAGGTCTCACATTAGTGGGGATGGCTGAGCGATCCCCTCTTCACTAGCTGAGATGGAGACAGACGATAAATGCATGAGTCAAAAAATACCCATGAGAGTCAGATAGTGTTTAGTGTCATGAAGAAAATGGATGGGTGATGGTACACAGAATGGCCGGGAGAGATGCTGCCCAGTAAGGGAGTCAGGAGGGGCCTCTTGGAGGAGGTGATACAATATTGAGACCCTGATGAGGAAACAGCAGACCAGGGAGGTGATGGCAAGTGCAAAGACCTAAGGTGACAAGCTTGTGTGTTTAACGGAAAGATGAGAGAGAGAGGTAGGAACTGAGCTGGGGGTGGGGTGGGGGCGGGAAGCAGGAAGATCGTGACCCTGACCCATGAGCAGAAGTGCTGTTAATTAGGTGGGGTTGAGATTCTGCTCTATTTCTCCTCACCCCACCCCACTCCACCTCAGCCCACCCCTCTCACTCCACTCCACTCCAGCCCATCCCATTTGGATTAATTTTGAGAGCCATGGTAACACCAGGAAGTTTTCAGCAGCTGAATCAGCTTGTGCATACTTCAAGGTTGCAAGCAAACAAACAATAAAAACCCCCAAAGTCGTCACACTTGGGCCTCAACATCCTCCAGTGGAATCAAAGCCTCAGGGTGGAACTGAGTGGTGGAATTTCCTGAAAGTTCCCCTGCCTGCCTCCACAGGATGAAAACTATTGCTGTAGAATCCTGTGGTCTGTTCTGAGGAGGGCGAATGCAAAGGGAATAGTGGATACAGGAGTCCCAGGAGGGCACCCATGGTCTAGGGAAAGAGATGAGTTTAGACCCAGTGGGGGTGTGCTGACATTCAGAGTGTGCTCTGGGATTGGCTGAAGGGATTCCTACTCTTAAAAGGTAACAGGAAAAGGAAGAGGGGTGAGTGGGCTCCTGTCCACCTGCTGTGGAGGCTCAGCCTGGATCTGTGCCCTCAGATTCAGACCTGGCTGAAGCCCTGGTTGTGCCACAGAACCTGCCTGGTCTCCTTCTTCTGAGAGGATGCTCAGCTCAGCTGCAAATATTTCTTCACTCACGGATCCATCCACTGATTACTTTGTTCATTGACTTGTTCACTCACTCACTCTCTCATCATTTATCTTCCCATCCATCCATCCATCCATCCATCCATCCTTCTACTCATTAAATCTGTTCACTTGTTTACATACTGATGTATGCATTCACTCATTTGTTCTTTCATGTATTCGTTCACTTATAACTTACCCATTAATTTATACCCTCACTCATTCACCTGTTGCCATCATCACCCCTTCACTCACTCATTCATACATTTTCTGGTAATTTGTGCATCTCTCCATCCACCCACCCATTGACTCCTCATTCATGTATGTATTCATTTGCTCACTCATGGGCTTTTTCATTCATGTATTTGTTCATTCATTCATTCATGTAGTCACTCATTCATTCACTCATACATCTACTTCATCATCAGCTTATTTGTTGCTTGATGTGCCAGGCCTGGTGGGAAGCATTGGGAAATTTAGTAGTGAATGAGTGACCAAAACCCGCCACACAGACACAGTAAATATTACCGGCATGTGTCCTGGTGAGAAGTTCTAGGAAGTAGACATGGCAGAGGTAGGGAGGAGTGTGAGGCATGAACACCTCAGAGATGTGCGGCCTGGCGCAGTCCCTGCTCAGCAGGACTTCAGAAACCAGTGACTCTTCTTCCTAATTTTGCCCTGACTACTTAGTTCAGTGTTCACCAGACTCCTGCTGAAGGGGAGTCTCCCTGGGGCTGATGGCATGCTTCCTTGTGACATCCAGGCAAGGTTCCTGCCTCTCTGCCTCCCTCAACAGCCCGGGGTTATTTATGGTGGAAAGGGGAGTAATCTGTGGTTCCTGTGCTGCCTCCCCTTGCTCTTTCTTGGGAACAAGAGACCCTGGGACCTTGGCTTGGAAACCACTGTGCCTTCCAGATGGTAGCACAGACCGGGAATCTGAGCTCCAAGAGGAGGTGGGATGCCCACGCCCACAGAAGTTGCACACATGGTACTCGCCACCCACACAGCTTTGGAGCCTGGGACCCAATTTCTCTCAGGGAATTTCCACTTGTCATCTCCCCAGCACATAACACCCAACAGCTGGGACACAATGTTAGGCCTCTGTGAGCAGTTTGGTAATCCCAGCCTTGTTCCAACTGTAGCCTGCGCCTTTTCAAATATTTACACGTGAGATTCCCTCCAGACCATGTGGAGGTTGGGATGGGGTGGGGCAGGGGGAAAGAGAGGGAGAGGAGGGAAAGAGGGAAGGAAGGAAGGGGAGGGGAGGAGAGAGGAGAGAATGAGAGACGAGGACACAGATGGGAACACAAGAGACATGGAGAGACACAAAGAACCCTGGATGGTGGGGACACTGTTCTGAGGACTTTGTCTTGGTGACTTTGTCATCGTGTGAACACATGATTCACAGCCTGTAGGGACTAGCCCACTGAGCACCTAGGCTGTGTGTTGTATACATTTGGCACAGCCTGTTGCTTCAGGGGCCATGATGACCAAAACCACACACACCAGACTCGATCAAGCACAAGAGAAAAAGACACAGTTGAGAGACACAGTACACGAGAGATGTACGGAGCTGTTGCTCCGTGTGAGACATTGCACGCGGTTTTAGTATACACTTCTTTAATAAGGAGAAGGGGCACACTGGGAAATCAGGACAAGTAGTGGAGGCCAGGCTGCCCAGCCTGAGCAGCTCAGTTTGTTCAGGCCCTGGGAAGCTCAACAGTCACCCAGTTTGGGGGATCTGCCAAGAGATCCACACATTACCTACCCTAGGAAAGAGCTGAGCTTAGGCTGTGCCCTCCCTGTTGCCCAGTATCATCCTCACACCCACCTACCCTCTCGAGGCCACGAGAAGCGGCCTCATGGCCATAGGCAGCTGAGAAGGTCCAGGCCATTGGGAGAAGGCATTCCTCCAAGGTGATTGTCTAAATTGTTTACAGCCATGTTTGCTCAAACC